TGACTCTGTGAGTGAGACGGTGAGTGAGTCTGTGAGTGCCTGAGTGAGTCTGTGAATGAGTCTGTGAGTGACTCTGTGAGTGAGACGGTGAGTGAGTCTGTGAGTGAGTCTTTGAGTGGGTCTGTGAATGATTTCTCACCTGGAGCATACCTGTACCTTCAGTCTCGATGCTGCCCTGAGATGTTAGGTGCAGTTTATCCAAGGTCTCCTTACAGCTACCAGAAAAAACAATTCACAGATTCAAAGAAGACCACTGAGACCTTAAAGTTAATCAGTAGATGGTAATCTGACAGTTTAGTATTAATATTTTTAAATATTTTTTATATTTTTTGGTGGGGGGGGTCTGTTGCCTTGCAGTGCTACCTGGTAAAGTTAGGTAAATTAAATAATTGATGTTTTAAAAGTAAATTTTAAAAACTGACTAACTGTAAAAAGAGATATATTACTTCCACCAGTGTGGTACGTCTGTGTCTCGGAGGCAACACCTCTGAAAGGTCACCAGTCCTTCAGGTTTAGTTTCTGTGGAGAAAAAAACAAACAGACATTTACTCTGATAAACTGTCTCATTGTAAAACTTCCTCCATTCCTTTATGCCTATACACACAAGCTATGTAGAAAAACACATGGACAAACGCTGAGTAAATGTATTTTATAAAATAGTCACTAATAAAGTTTCATTACATTTAAAAGATAAATCAAAGCGTAAGAGGAATACGTTTACAGTCCTGCTCACCTAACACCTTTTTAAAGTAATGCATGACGGCCCTCAGCTTCTCCTTTTTACGTTCTGACCAATCTGCAAACAGTCTGCAGGCAGAAACAAACAAAAAGAAAATCAGTCAGCTCACAGGAGAGGACAGGATGGAGACACCATGTGGTTGTGAGTAGAATGACCTGGTGAAGTTGATGGATGGGTAGCTGTGGTATTCTGCACCAGGTCCGGAGCTGTTGCGGTGAGGGAAGGTACAGTAGAAGGCATTGGCGAGCAGGCAGGAGATCTGAACCTGCGACAGAGTGATGGATGCAGGGTGTCCTCTCTGAAGCAACGGGACGGCCTGCGGACATGAAAACGCGTTGTTAATCATCTGTGTTCAAGATCGTTACATGTCAGGTGTTCACAGGGCCAACAAGTTTTCTACTGAAGGTTCAGAACAACTCTTAAACAAGACATACCATATTTATACATGTCTAATACGATCTCAAGTATAATACGATCATCATTTTGGGGCTTAAAAAGCATTAAAAAATCTAATCATCAATAACCCATGTATAATACAACCCACCTACTTTAAGGATGAATTTATCGTTAAATTTCTGGTATTATGCATGAATAAATAAAGTACGTATCATGCTTTTAAATCCTTCTTTTTCACATTTAAATCATTCAGTTGCAAGTGGAACTGCAATGGTTTGGTTTGAATTCCTTCTTGTTATAACTCCACAAACCCCTCTTTCACCGCTTTTCTGAGGTGTCTCAGATGAACTCATTTTGATGCTGTCTCTTTAAATCCAAATGAGGCACTTCACACCCCGACCCCCCTCTAGCTTCCAGAGCGATTCATTCAAGTTTGATAGAGGGATTTACAGATATCTAGTGGCACAGAAACATTTTCTTCACAATTTAATTTAAAAAAAAGATGTCAACAACATAAGACTTGTCCATCCAGCCTCCCATGTTGGAGCCAGAGTCTGACCCAGAGACAGAGGAAAATGAAGTCCAGACCTTATTTGGCAGTTCTGTAGCAAATATTTTGACTTATAGCTCAGAAGACATCATAGAAAATAGAGAAAACTAAACGGGTTGAAAAATGTGACCCAAACATAATATAAAGATATCTTTGCAGCATCTGGAGAGACTAATTTCAACTTTTCTGCACTCCTAGAGACTCCAAGTCCACAACAAAATATATTTAACAGTTAAAATACAAAAAAAAAAAGGATTTTGCCTGATATTTCCCTTTCCCCTGGACTCAGATTAGTCAAATTAAATGTAAAAATATACCTTCTTTAAATAATTTCTAAAAAATAAAACTGAAAAGTAAAACCTTCAACTACAGCAGCAACTTTCATTCAGTAACTAAAAGGTAGAGGTTGACCAATATATTGTCTAGATTATAATTTAGGCCAATATTTGTGTTTTTTTCTTGTATTTGTGTTTTTTCTTGTATCTGCAACATCCATAAAAACAATCTGTTATGTTATGTTAAGAAATGTTTATTTTTTGTTAAATTGAAACTCGTGTAACATTTTTCATCATTGTGTCATTTTTATCATGTGAAAGGAGAAAGAAAAAGCAATATCGGCTTCAAGAATTGGGCCCCAAAAAACTGACAGCACTTACTGGTCATCAGTTAGACTGATGTCAAAATAATCAGCATCAGCCTTAAAAAAAACCTGTATAGTCAATCTCTACTAGAAGGCCTCTACATCCCAGCTTCAGATGTCTCGTGAAACTTCTCATCTGACTGCAGCAGAAACTCCAAATGGTTTGCTTTTATTTTTTTAAATTTCTGCAATGACTATTTCTGTCCACTTTTCCAAGAAGCCCAGTTCTGTGCAGTGAGAAACTTATGGTCTCTGTAGAATAGTGACTTTGGTATGCAGAAAAGCAAAAGAATTAAGAGGGTTTTTTTTTGTTATATCAGGGGGCAGTTTGTTCACTGAATAATGTGAGCGGTGCAGTTCGGAATGGCTGCAGACAGCAGTGAAGCCCAGAGTTGTAATGTAACTAAGTAGAAATACTTTGTTACTGTACTTAAGTAGAATTTTTGGGTATCTGTGCTTTACTTGAGTAGTTATTTTTCAACGTACTTTTTACTTTTACTCATTACATTTTTACACAATTATCTGTACTTTCTACTCACTACATTTTTTAAAAAGGTAAGAAGTAGAAAGTAATTTCTCCTATTTTATTAGTAGTTGTTATTACTTAAAAAAATACTATCCTGATAAATTGTCTCCTGGATAGAGTGAATTTAATTGTGGTTGGATGAGAAGTATAAATATTCTGACAGCTTGAACACAACTCATCACAGCTGCACGCCGTTAGAAAAAAATATTTTTTGGAGAAGTCACCACCCAATAAATGTCACTTTGAAAAATCTAACTGCTCATTTTTACTCAGTACTTTTACTTTTAATACTTAAGTAGATTTTGTGTCAAAAATTTACTTTTGATAAATAAGTACAAAAAATATCAGATACTTTAAGACTTTTACTCAGGTAGTATTTTTAGAGAAGACTTTAACTTTTGCCAAAGTATTTTTATGATAAGATACTTGTACTTTTACTCAAGTATCACTTTGAGGTACTTTATACAACACTGGTTACAGTGACAATCCTGGAGTTGCATTTTTACAACTAAAGTTGGGGATTCTCGAGGCTGAGACATACCAATAAACACTTTTCTATTGTAGATGACGTAGCTGAAATTTATTCTGCTGCAGGACCTTAACTGTTAACATACAGCAAATGTCATTTACTAACTTCCAGACGTCCAGGCCCAGATGAAGGCCCCGCCATGGATCCTGTCTGGGACTACAGATGGACTGGAGTCGAACAACGTCCAGAGAAGATCTGGGGTTTGGTTCTAAGTGTTCTGAGAAGAGCTGATGCTGTTTTAAAGGAATTTATTCTCACACCACATACTGATTTCTCTTCTGCTCAGTCAATTAGCATCATTAGGTGATGAAAACAACAATTTATTTTTATTGTAAATACATTCTTTACAGCATTTTCCACTACTTCTTAAAATTTTGGGCACAATATTGTATCAATTCTTATATGATTCCAAATGTGTTTGTTTTTATAAGAAACTACAGAGGTTTTCTGTTTTTAACATGTTTTCAGATTTTTGTACACTTCCTGCGTAAACAGAATAACTTTTGTTACATTCACTGACACCTTTTTGACTTGCTCAGGCAGATCCAAGGCTAAAGCAGCAATCCTCGGAAACAGTTTCTCAAAGTCATTTTCTATTTTTGGGATCCGCTGGAAAGGAAACACAAACATTTCTCATCATCAAAGTGTTTAAAAATCCTCCAGACTGATGATTCAGTCACAAGGCTTGAATACTGACCTCAACAAACCTGGAAAGTGCATCAAACGACCACTGACCTTTGTACTTGGGGTTGTATTTAAAGATGGCTTCCTGGAGAGGAAAAAAAATTTAAACAGTTGAACAAAAGATTAATCATTTTAAAATGCTCTTGGAAAAGACTGCTAGGAATATATAGGCACACCTACCGCCACCTCATCAACACTTGCTGTTGCCTTATTGGCCAGAGCCTTCAGATTCTCATAGATCAGCTTCCATCTTGACACTTGGGTGAACTTGAACTGCAACAGTGTTTTTATTTACTTTTTACACTAAAAAGTATTTCATGTCACCACAAACATAGACATACATAACATCACAGTCATGTGTAAGACTAAAGTGTCAAGGACTGAGAACACATCCCTGAGGAGCTCCTGTGCTCAGTTCAATTATGTGAGACATTTTATTACTATCTGTTGTCTTCACTGACAAAACAGCTCTGATCTGTAGGGTCATAAAATCCACTGGATCACTGAAGGTCTGCCAGCGGTTAAGAGCAATCAGTGACTGAATCAGAAACACTAACAGATTGTTAAGAATAAAATGTTGCAAGATAAGGCCTCTTTGGATTGAATTAGTATGTAAAATCCATCCAACAGAAACTCATTTAGGCTGGTCTGAACATCTAGGCAAGAAAAGTTAAAACCTTCTTTTTGGTAAAAAGCAGTGCACTGCTTAAAGATTAAGTTAAGCAGTGTAAAAGAATTCAAAGTTTTCCAAAGAACATCGTTCAAAGCATCATATGACCTCACTAAATTGGCTGTTTTTATAGACTTTCATGGTTTCAAGTCAGTCCTGGACACAGACACAGAGACACACATTAAATAAAGAAAAACATTTTTATTCTTCACATACTATAATCTTATGTGGTAGCAGTTGATGCATTTAGACTTTGTAAAATTTCAAAAATGGTTCAGTATCAATAAGCTATCACTTAATCTAGATAAAACTAATTTTATGATATTTAGTAAAAGGAAAATTAATGGAAAATTAATGGTAAGGTTTCCTTCAAAATTGGTGAAGTTGAGATTGGCAGAGCCAGTGAAGTGAAATTTCTGGGGATCATCATTGATGAAAACCTTATATGGAAATCCCATATTAATTATAAGGAAAATTAATGGTAATGTTTCCTTCAAAATTGGTGATGTTGAAATTGATAGAGCCAGTGAAGTGAAATTTCTGGGGATCATCATTGATGAAAACCTTATATGGAAATCCCATATTAATTATTTAAGAGTTAAATTATCTAAATCAATTGCAGCATTATATAAGGCCAAAGAAATATTCAATGATCACGCATTGCTTATATTATATGATGCCATTATTTTTACCTCACTTGATTTATTGTATATAGATTTGGAGGAAAGCGTGTAAAACATTTACAAGACCCATTTTTATTAGGCAAAAACGAGCTGTGATAATTGTAGCAAGGAAACACTATTATCACCATTCAAATATTTTGTGTAGTCAGTTTTTGGGCTTTTGAAGTTTGATGAGTTCGTTGACTACAGGATTTTGTTACTTATTTATAAAGCTCATAAGATTGTACTGCACTTTAACATACAGGTGCTGGTCATAAAATTAGAATATCATGAAAAAGTAGATTTATTTCAGTAATTCCATTTAAAAAGTGAAACTTGTATATTATATTCATACATTACATACAAACTCATATATTTCAAATGTTTATTTCGTTTAATTTTGATGATTACAAATGACYACAAATGAAAATCTCAAATTCAGCATATCAGAAAATTAGAATCTTGTGAAAAGGTTCAAAATGGATGGCACCTGGTACCACACTCTAATCAGCTAATTAACTCAAACCACCTGCAAAGGCCTTTACATGGTCTTTCAGTCTAGTTCTATAGGCTACACAATCATGGGGAAGACTGCTGACTTGACAGTTGTCCAAAAGACGACCATCGACACCTTGCACAAGGAGGGCAAGACACAAAAGGTCATCGCTAAAGAGGCTGGCTGTTCACAGAGCTCTGTGTCCAAGCACATTAATAGAGAGGCGAAGGGAAGGAAAAGATGTGGTCGAAAAAAATGTACAAGCAAGAGAGATAACCGCACCCTGGAGAGGATTGTGAAACAAAACCCATTCAAAAATGTGGGGGAGATTCACAAAGAGTGGACTGCAGCTGGAGTGAGTGCTTCAAGAACCACCACACACAGACGTATGAAAGACATGGGTTTCTGCTGTCGCATTCCTTGTGTCAAGCCACTCTTGAACCACAGACAGCGTCAGAAGCGTCTTGCCTGGGCTACAGAGAAACAGGACTGGACTGCTGGTGAGTGGTCCAAAGTCATGTTCTCTGATGAAAGTAAATTTTACATTTCCTTTGGAAATCAAGGTCCCAGAGTCTGGAGGAAAAGAAGAGAGGCACTTCWTCCACGTTGCTTGAAGTCCAGTGTAAAGTTTCCACAGTCAGTGATGGTTTGGGTGCCATGTCATCTGCTGGTGTTGGTCCATTGTGTTTTCTGAGGTCCAGGGTCAACGCAGCCACATACCAGGAAGTTTTAGAGCACTTCATGCTTCCTGCTGCTGACCAACTTTTTGGAGATGCAGATTTAATTTTCCAACAGGACTTGGCACCTGCACACAGTGCCAAAGCTACCAGTACCTGGTTGAAGGACCATGGTATCCCTGTTCTTAATTGGCCAGCAAACTCTCCTGACCTTAACCCCATAGAAAATCTATGGGGTATTGTGAAGAAGAAGATGCAATACACCAGACCCAACAATTCAGAAGAGCTAAAAGCCACTATTAGAGCAACCTGGGCTATCATAACACCTGAGCAGTGCCACAGACTGATCGACTCCATGCCACGCCGCATTGCTGCAGTAATACAGGCCAAAGGAGCCCCAACTAAATACTGAGTGCTGTACATGCTCATACTTTTCATGTTCATACTTTTCAGTTGGCCAACATTTCTATAAATCCTTTGTTTTTATTGGTCTTCAGTAATATTCTAATTTTCTGATATGCTGAATTTGAGATTTTCATTTGTTGTCATTTGTAATCATCAAAATTAAACGAAATAAACATTTGAAATATATGAGTTTGTATGTAATGTATGAATATAATATACAAGTTTCACTTTTTAAATGGAATTACTGAAATAAATCTACTTTTTCATGATATTCTAATTTTATGACCAGCACCTGTACAATCACTTTTTTGTAAAAGAGATGGCATATATAATTTGAAAGGAATTGAAATGCTTCTCAAACCAAAAATTAGAACAAATTTTAAGGAGAAATGCACTTCCTTCCAGGGAATCAAATTGTGGAACAATTTGGAAAACGTTTTCAAAAATGCCAATATGATTTATACATTTGCTAGATCAATAAAAACTCTTTTGTTGTCAAAGTATGAACAAAATATAGATTGAGTATTAATTTGAGTATTTTTTATTTTAAATTTTGGATTGTTTTTCTTGTATTACTGATGTTAAAAAATGAACTATGTTATTAATGAATATCTGCAGGGCTGTTTGCGCCTTGAGAAATTTTCTCTTTCAAGTAGTAGTAGTAGTAGAATTTTTTTGTGTATTTTTGTAAGTCAAATCAAATACATATAAAAATATATGTATAAAAGAATGCTGGAACAATTTATTCATTTAGTAGAATGCTTAAAAGTTTTTTTAATGAGATACGAACAAAGTTTTGGTTAAGATTTGTATTTTGTTGTGATGTTGTTGATTATTTGAAATTATTTTGTGTATTGAGTTGAGTTTTATTATTTGTATGTTGTACATTTTTTAGACACATATTTTTAATTGGGGGCAGATGTTGTAAGATTTTATTCTTTCTGCTCCTTTTCATTTGACTATGTTGTCATCGTGTTTTTGACACAACGTTGCTGTATTATTTGTTTGTTTTTATTATTATTTGTTTGTTTTTTATTTGTTTGTTGAATGAAATAAAATTCTATAATAACAATAAAATAATAATAAAAGTGATTCCTAACAAACACTTAAAATTTGCATGAGATATTTTCATTTTGAGTGATTTTTCAATCACTGCTGCCTGAAAAAGAAATTTCCTATAACAACATAATAACTAATGTAACTTGACTACAATGCTTTCGATCTAATTCCCTCAGTGAGAATTCAAAATAATGTGAGTTAATGGAATACACTGTATATTTAGTAATTTCTTGAAATTTCATCTTTACTTTTGAATCCAGTTTTGATGAGGGTGAACATGGCATCTTGACAAAGTTTCTGTCCCACAGATCTCTCCCGTCCTGAGGAACAGGTCCACATTGTTTGAAAATGTCCACCTTGGAGACAAACAAGAACAGTCTGCATTTCAACAGCTCAACTGACAACTTCAAACTTCAGAATACATTTTGAGTAATCATTTATGTGACATAATGTTTTAGTCACAAACACATTTAATCAACCAAATTATATTATTTTCACTTTAACACAATCCAGACCAACTTACTCCTATACTGATAATTCAGTCTAACTGTGTAACCCTACAGACACAATATGTGCAGTAAAGGAGTGAAAATAAGTTTTTGTCTTCCATTGATGGAGCTTAGTGTCAGCCAAGTACATGCTGGGACCTGGTTTCTGCACAGACAAGAACTTTAAGACAAAAGCTGCTCAGACTGTGGTTCTGTGATGGAGATTATAGTTTACAGTAACAACGGTGGGTCCAAAAACAATCAGAACTAACTTGAAACTAACAAAACATCCTGAAAATCCAACTACCAGTATAATCCTGATAATGGACATATTAACCGAAAATAATTCCGACAACCAGTTCAATAAACTGTTTGCCAAAAGAAAAAAAAACTCAAAACAAAACAAATCCTTTTTTAGAGTAAAAGCACTTCCTGTTATCGTTATTTATAAAACATTAATGAGAAGTAGAAAAAAATCCTGAATTTTAAACGTTTTCATTTTGAAAATGACATTTTATATGCAGAACTCACATTTGTGAATGCATATGATGGTGAATTGTCGTGGGGCCTACATGGTTTTCTTACTAGCAGTTTGCTGATGAATTTTAAAAAAGCACTTTTTAGAGGACAAAGTGGAAACGACTTACATTTATGAGGACAGTGTGAGACCTGCTGAAGTTCAGGGGTCCCAGCTTGATATCCAGCTTTGGAAGTCTTCTCAGGCTGTCCAGCTGACAGCACGATGAGGCGTCATCATCCCGCCTTGTCCAATCATTCTTGTAGCTGTTTCTGTTCTGTTTGTCATCCTCAGCACACCTGGACCCAGCGGTAACGGAGGTGGCTCCATCTTCCCACCGCATCAAATCTGTGTTTTGATCACTTGTTTTTGGTTTGTCATCCTCAGCACACCTGGACCCATCAGAGGAGGAGCTGCCCGGACCTCTGCTGTCTTTACTGTCCTGCTGCTTTAGTGGGTCGGGTTTCCTGTTTCTGTTCTTTTGGTCGTCATCATGTTGGAGGCTGGCTTTCATCTGAGAGCTGTCGTTACGATTATGTGGTTTAGCCATTTCTGCGAAACTAGGACTTGTTCAGCAGCCTTTAAAACAAATAATGTTTTCACAGTAAATGAACTTGCTGATTAAAGGAGGCCTGTAAACTAAAAACGTTTAAACTAAGTTGATTCCTTCATGTTCTGTTTCTGCTGCAGTTTTGGGTCGGATCATTTAAACCAACAACGACCCAGATTTACTCATGTGACCATGGTCTGAGGCGGTCTGGTCAACTGCACCACATGCACCAAAGCTGACAAATATAAAACTGGTTTTGTTTTTAATAAAGGCACAGCATTTCTTAAAGGGATTCCTGATTAGTTGTAACATTAGACTTTAAAAATATTGTAGGCTTAGTTTTGTATATTTTTAAAAATATATTTTAACACGGATGGAGTCACTTTATTTACACACAAAGCATTCTGGGTAAATGATGACGTGGATAGGTCATCGGTGCGAGGCTGCTAGCGAGCTATATCCACCCTGAAGGTTAATCTTGGACAATATCTGATGATCGACTCTTTTAAATGAAACCAGAGAGCGTTGACAGAGAGGAGAAGGTAGAAATGACTCAGCCTGTAACTGAAAATATGGATGGAGGACAACAGAGCTGCTTCATGGAAGAAGAACTTCAACTTAGCCTGCTAGCCAATGCTATATTGCCTTAAATGTATTAGCTCAGTGCTAGCACGACAAACAAGCTAAACTGAGGTCCTCCATCCATATTTTCAGTTGCAGGCTGAGTCATTTTTGCATTCCCCTCTCTGTCATGTGGATGGAGGACCTCAGTGATGAGAAGAGAATGTGTAGCGCTGAGCTAATACATTTATATGGTGATAGTGTCGGCACTAAAGCTAACAGGCTAAGCTGAGGTTCTTCTTCCAATCGTTCTTTCTTCGTCAATCGTCAGATTTTGTCCAAGATTAACCTTCAGGGTGGATATAGCTCGCTAGCAGCCTCACACTGAGGACCTATCCACGTCATCATTTACCCAGAATGCTTTGCGTGTAAATAAAATGATCTCATCTGAGTAATGTATTTTTTAACTTTTAGTTTAAAAGTGATAAAAACTAAACAGCTTACAGTATTTTTACAGTCTTTATTTTACAGTTAAAATATATGTTTCTTAAATAAAGTCTAATGTTACAACTAATCACGGATCCCTTAGACTATCTCGCAATTTTCTGCACACGACTTTGTGTGTAGGGGTTGATTTAAACAAACAGCATCACTACAGTATATACTAATAAATCTGATGGATGTGACGTGTTTTTCCTGTTTATCTGATGTTTTTTGAGAATTGTGGTACAAAAAAATAGTGGATGAGGTGAAATGTTGGACATTTTATGAGCAATGAGTCTATAATAGAAAGTTTTTATTTGAAAAAAAGTTTACCATGATTTTGACATGATTTTATGCAATTACCAATAAAATATAATTACTGCTTAGGGTGGCATAGTGGCTCACTTGGTAGAGTTGTTGCCTTGCAGGTTGCCAGATCAAATCCCAGCCGGGGATCTTTCTATGCATCCATAGGCTTTTTCCAGGTACTCTGTTTTCCCCTCACAGACCAAAAACAGGAATGTTAAACTAATTGATAACTCTAAGTTGTCTATAGGTGAGAATGAATGGTAGTTTGTCTCTATGTGGACTTGCAACCTCACACAGTAACTGCTGGATATTGGCACCAGTGACAATAACAGGGTGATGCATGTAAAATATCATTTTTAACCTTTCAGTTCATTTTGGATTTTATTCATAGCTACTGCTCTTATCCACATAGATGAACTGAGCCAGCCGAGATATTTAATTATGTTAGGTTTTACTGCTACTGACTGTACAAAACGATCCAGCAGTTAGTTAGTACTTCTGCCCATGTAGTTAGTATCTATGCATAACAATACTCTCAACCTTGGCTACAAAAACACTACCACAACAAGCTCAAAAAGCAGATTTATATCTTAAAGCTATTTAGGAAAACATCTCATCAATGATCTTACAAGAAAGTTTAATATAAATCAGCAAAAACACTGGGTAGTCGTAACAGACACACCAACACACAGTTTACGATAAATATAATTTAAATACAACACATATCTATAAAACTGTCAGTTTAGGAACAAAAGTATTGAGCTGGGAAACTGTTTTTAACAATAACATTGTAATGTCACACCATTTTAAAACAATGAATGATCCACATGGTCTGAGTTGTCTTCATCACACACTTCCAGGTGTTGAAACTCACCTGTGACCCCATTTCATCCTGTTTCAAGTCAAACACGTTTGCAAAGCCTTAAAATGAGAAACATTTACTAAAAATAACCTAGTTAGGGTAACTCTTTGGTTCCCAAAGTTGGGCTTGGGACCCAATTATGGGTCATGAAGCACCTTGGATAATCT